TGAAGGTTATATTTCAGAGTAAGGAACAGGCACGCCATTGAGTATTCTTTGCCTAAGAAAACCCTACAAAATTCATGGAATCACCATAAATTGACAGGCGACTTGAAGGCACACACACACACACACACACATACACACACACAGCCTTGGGTTCCTATAGTTTTTCTGAACCAGTCCAAGACATTTACTGCCTGAGGCAGACCAGCTGATCATTCTGTATCCCCTTACCTGAATCATACTCCCTTAAACCCTTAAATTATTTTGGCACACAAAGCTGAAAATTCCACATGCAATTTTGCCTTTCACTAACAGTAAAACCACAATAATTACAAATAGGAGTCAGTGTGGGCTAATGGCTTGAGTGCTGGGCTAAGAATCTAGGAGACCAGTGTTTGAATCCTGGTTCAGCTTTTGGAAACCCATTGACTCACCTTGTTCAAGTCACACTCTCTCAATCTCAAAGGAAAGCAAAAGCAAGCCCACTTTGAACAAATTTTGCCAGAAAAACCCTCTGATAGGTTGCCTTAGGGTCATCATAAGTTATAAGTGACTTGAAGGCACACAACAATGAAACAACAACAGTTTGCTTCCCTTTCATGACACCTCAGATCTATTGCTTGGGGCAGCTTTATCGCTCTACCTTAATAGTAAACAGCAACCCTGTCAGATAGAGAGCCAGCATGGCATAGTGGTTTGAATGTTTGGCTATGACTCTGGAGACCAGGGTTCAATTCCCCTCTCAGCCATGAAACCCACTGGGTGACCTTGGACAAGGCACATGCTCTCGGCCTCAGGGAAAGGCAATGGCAAACCTCCTCTGAATAAATAATGACAAGAAAACCCCATGATTAGATCACTTTAGGGTCGCCATAGGTCATAGGCTGACTTGACCCTGTCAGATATGTAGAAAGCAAAAGCTGGATTTTTGTTTCTCATGCTGAAGCAATAGGACATGCTCATGGTTTGGTTGAAGCTTGAGAGGAAATGGATGCGACTGAAGACTTTGGAAAAAAGGAAAGCCATTTGTATCTTTAAAACTGTGAGAGAGCATATGTATGTTGAAATGTGATGGACACTTACTTGGGATTTGGCCTCATTGGATTCAATGATGCTTCCTTCTGTATTAAGCATGAAGTAGACTTAGGTCTATGGCCCTAAGCAGACAGCTTAAAGGGCCGTCTAGGGGGCAGGGAAGGGGAGGGGCAGCCGCACGATTAGCGCCCCAAACCCTTCCCCAGGTCGTCCTTGGAGCAGGAGGTCCTCCTCGGAGTGCCGGCCATGCGGAGGGCCGGCACTCCGAGGAGGACCTCCCGCCGCAACGTTCGCACACGCTGCGGTGGAAGAGTCACCGATGGTGTGCGGCAGCCTTTTGCGGCGCACCTTCGTTGACTCGTGAAAGGAGCGCCAATTTAGCGCTCCTTTCAGGGGCGGTGAAGCTGCGCTGCGAGGTGTGGGTATGCCTCGGTCCCGCGGCACAGCTTCCTGGGGCGGCCCATGGCCACTCATCTGCTTCCCCCCTATGAAAGCTCATGCTGCCAATTTCTTTCTTTCAGTTAGTCTCAAAGGTGCTACAAGATCTCTCTACCAATTGATTCTACAGACTAACACAGCTATATCTTGGAATTCTAGGATTTCACTCTAACACTGGTCTGATAGTGTTCTCCTTCATCTTTGAATTGATAATTTTGAGAGGATAGAGTAGGATTGTCTTGTGGGAGAGCACCCCACAAAACTATGGTTTGAAGTATAATTTGGCAAGAAGCCATGACAATAAACATGTATACCATTCCTACCGCTTTGTATGAAAGCGAGGTCTAAAGAGTGGGAAGAGAGACAAGTTGCGTTCAGAGGACAAGCTCAAAAGACAGGCACATCAAAGGTTATGTTGGAATCTAATCCTTTGTTGCTTATGTCGAGATCCCAAAAATATTCCTTCTGAAATAGTCCCAGTGAGATCCAGTCTGTTTGTTTGTTTTTCCTATGATCTCTGCTCTTTTTGTTAAAACTCTCTCACACAAATGCAACATTTGACTTCATTATGTTGAACTCACTTTAATTTAGCCAGGGTGTGGGAGGCTGTAATGGTGGTTTTGGAAGGGCCAGGGGCGTTTTCCTTTCCATCTGTTATTTTTAATCCACTTGTCAGGCTCTTCTCGTCCTCTCTTTCTCTCTTTCTACAACTGCTTTTCTTCCTTTGTCCCCCCCTCCATTCCCCCATGTAGGAACTTTAAAAAAACAAAAACTGAAAATGCTTTAATCTTTCATGTTTCAAACTGAGCATCTGAGAATACATGAGCATCTAAACATTTCATATTCAAAGCAGTAATCATCTCCCTTTTCCTTTCTTGAAAGCTCCTTGGCTAGGTAGTTTATCCTTGCAAAGTCCCCAAGCTGGAGGTCCCATCATCCCCTAAATTGCAAATGAGCAGAATTGTTCACAACAGCAGACTGTTCACAAGGGGTAGCTGAAACTTTTTGTCCAAATGCGACTGTGCAAAAGGAATGTACACTTTAACCTTCAGATTTGTAGCTGGCCGGTTTCACCCAATCTAATAAGACACAAGAGGGCCTTTGTTTATCATGAAATTTCATGGATCTGCCTCTGCAAGGGGAAAAAGAAAGAAAGGATATCCCTATCTTAGTGTAAAAGGCAGAGAAGGCCAAGTTCCATGTATAAAAGGCTATTCCAGAAAGACTAAAGGGACTTTAGAAATTATTGTAGTGACTTTACAACAATATGCATTAAATGAGGGGATATCTCTTGCAGATAATTTTGTTTTCATCTTTATTACATGTTTGAATGCATCTTAAGGCCTTTGCTGCAGTGTACAACAGTACTTCTTTTTTATATTGCCACAGTAATATGAGAAGCTGTGGACCAGCCTTTTGCAGATGTTTTGGAGCATAGCATCTATCATCCCTGAACACTGAAGTGCTGGCTAGAGCTGATAGAAGTGGTAGTCTGGGGCCTCATTCCCACTACGTTATAAATTGGTTTGTTAACCAGTTTGAAGCAGTTTAAATGATCCTGGTTCACACTAGAGCCAAATTACTGAAGTAGTTTGGTGATTCCCCCCCCCCCCCCCGCTAGACCCATTTAATGTGTGTCTTTTTTATGCTCATTTTTTTCTGCATCTTTTGCAATAAATTGATTCTGTGCAAGTGTGAACAGGATGTGGATCAGAATTGATTTAAATTTGCCCTTTAAATTTGCCAGCTGGCTGAAGAGGGTCCATTTTGCATTGATTCATTAGTCAAAGTGAATGACAAGTGGGTTATTTTACAACAAGAAAATGTGAATGGGGCAAATGTAGTGTGAATCACTCTTCGCTGTCGGATCACAAACTGATTTATTTGTAAGTGGAAATGAGGCCTGAGTCATCTAAAGGACACCAAGTTGTGCAAGAAGGCTTTGGATCATGTGAGAAGAAGCCACATTGAATCTAGCGTCTATGTTAAATTTGCTTTCCTTTCTCATGGTCAAATTTTGTGAATTTTGGCAATTTCTCAGCAAAATTGAACTACAGTAAATTCTCACCCATCCCCAGAAGAAGGGCAACTCTATCATTTTCACTTTCTTTCACTTCCAAACTGTATTAATTTTGGTCAAGTTTTGTTTAAAAGAAAAGAACTGTAACAAAATTCCCCCACACACACCTCTTCCAATTGCAACCTTTGAATAACTGTCTACTCCCATTTTTTTGAAACTAGTACTGAAGAAGCCACAGTCTCAGCAGTTACTCTGTAGGTAAAAAGGATGTTGGAAGGGAAGGTCAATTTCTGCTCAGTATTTTAGTCCTGGTCTTCCCTTCACAATGGAAAATATGCACTGAAGTCTTGATTCTCTCCCTCAATGATATTTGACCGTAAATGCTTGCATTAGATGATTCTAGAATTTCATTCCAGGCTCCTTTTCTATTGCACATCAGATACTGGAGCTGGAGCTCTCAGACTGTGCATTATTTCTTTGGCATGGCTACCAATGCTTCTGAGACAAGCAGGCTTTTGAATGGTTGTACAGTTGAGTTGTCCCACACCAGCTTGGACTTTGGTTTTATTCAGAGACCCTACAACAACAGACACATATCTGCCATCATCCGAGATTCCACAGAGGAAAATTCCCATGACCTTGGGGTTGCTGCCTTGTATCAAACTCATCCCTCCCTTATTTGAAACAGGATTACTCTAAGGATTATTAGGATAATGTATATAAAACACTTTTAACATTTTCTAAAGCACTATGTAAGTGCTATGTATTATTATAAGTACCCATAGCCTCTCCCCTTGGAAGATAAGCCATAAGCTCAATAAACAAGCTATTTCATTTGGAACTGTCCTCGTACATTGCCTATGTTGCTCCTTTTCTTAAGCTTGCTGTATTTAGTCAAATTAATCATTCTCAGATTTTCTTTTTCTTTTTTATTCAGTGAAACGGTGAGAAGGCCTACACATCACGTTTTGTATGCGTACCAATTTCATTATGGACTTTCTCTGTTCTCTTGAGATTTCATTCACTTTCCAGACTGCGCTCATCACGAGTCAGCACTCACTGATCCTTGCCAAGACTTCTGATGGTTTCAGCAGTGACTAATGGATCTGCCTGCTGTTTCATCCATGTGGTCTCTTCCTTGAAGCATCTGCAACCTGCTCCTGATAAGTTATCAGTCTGCCTCAGGGTCTACTTCATAAATTACCTCTTCTAAAAAGGGCACTTCCTCTAACCTCAGCACCACTGAGGGGTGCAAAGAGTTTGGCATGCACATTAAATACACAGATACAGCAAGAAATGTCTGGAGGAGCAAAGGGGGCAGTGAGAACTATTTGTGTCGAGGGGAGTGTCTCTATTCTATGTATCTTTTAGACTCATCTGTTCATCTCTCTGTCTCTGTGCTAAAACTGACCTTGAAGGATCAGGGATCATCAGGATACTAGAAGAGCAGCTGTCAGCCACTGAGGCCCTACTATGCATCTCGCCTACCCGAGGTCACTTGAATTGTAGCAGGTATGTGGCGTAATGGTTTGAATGTTGGACTATAATCCTAGAGACCAGGGTTCAATTCCCAGCTTGGCCATTAAACCCATTGGTGACCTTGAACAAGTCAGATGCTCTCAGCCTCAGGGAAAGGCAATGGCAAATCTCCCCTGAACAAATCTTGCCAAGAAAGCCATAAGTCAGAAATGACTTGAAGGCACACAGCAACCACCACAAAGCACTAGAAAGCAAAAGCAGTCCAACTACAGCACCTCAGTTATGGAATGCCTTCCTACAAGATGCCCACCTTATCCCATAATTTCCATTGGCTTTTGGTTCTGCATGTTTTTCCAATTTTGGTCTGCTTGTTTTCTGTACTTATTGATATTTTTGAAACATTTTGTTTTAAAATGATATTGTTTAAAAAAAAATTGTGTGAGCTACCTTAGAATTCTTTAGAATTGAAGACAGAATATGTGAAATAAATGAACAAAAGCCATTTTTCCAATATTCTGATCAGGCTTAATTTGGTTTCTTCTTCTCTGCGAATCACACAAATGGGTTATATCTATGCCTGAGCACCTAGCTTGGAAAGTTCTGATATCACTGGGCAAATCTTTGATTGCAACTTTTTGGCAGTAGCTCTGCCCACCCCTATAAAGCCCCTGGCATTCCTGCTCTTTCCTCAGTTCCTTTCATCCGTCGCGTTAGCAAGGAACTTCGCTCATTAGAGTTGTTTGTTTCACTTTTGAAAACTATTGACCTACAGCTTTTGACTGTTTTTCTGGCTTTTGACTATTCTTCTGGATTGCGTATTGGTGATTGTTGGCAAATTGATCGACTCGGACTGTTTTTTTGACCTCGCTTTTGGTCCAGATAAGAAGCCTCTTTTGGGAGGGCAGTGCTGCTTTCTGGTTTGCACTAATTATGTTTGCACTATTTCATTGCATGTTTGAATCCATGCAAGTGACACCAAAATGCAATTAAGGTTTACAGTTTATTGTTGTTAATAAACCTCATCTTGTTTCAATTTACAAGACTGGTGTTTGGACACTCCCTCCTCCACTGACCAAAGCTTGTCAGTCTAACCCATTTGTGTGATTCGCAGAGACCACAAAGAAGGAGGACAGGTTGCGTACCTATAACCATATTTCTTTGAGTGGTCATCTGCGAATTCACACAAATCTCCCCCCATCCTCCCCGCAGATGTGTCCTGCTCTTTACTAAAGTCCTGCTGTCGTTGCTTGGCGATGTACTGTTTGGAACTGAGGAAAGAGTGGGAATGCTAGGGGTGAGCAGAGCTACTGCCAAAAAGCTGCCATCAAAGATTTGGCCGGTGATACTAGAACTTTCCAAGCTAGCTTCACAGGCACTGATATAACCCATTTGTGTGAATTCGCAGATGACCACTCAAAGAAACATGGTTACAAGTAAGCAACCTGTCCTTCTCCACATTGTGAGTTTCATGTTTAGCTTCTCACAACACTAGTATAAGTTTTTCTTTCACATAGTAATTATTCATGCTATCTAGCCCTGGTCTAACTCTTAGGACGTTATCACACTGGGGTCTCAAAGCAGCAAGAAAGCGGCA